AAAACGAGGTCGCCGGGCTGATAAATAACGGGTCTGCGATGGCGATCGGCGTTGCGTTTAGCGATGATGTTTGATTTTTTGATTGCTTCTGCTGCCCTGGTCCGTGCTGCTTGTAGAATCTCGGCGAACTGTTGTGCTCGTGGGACGGGGTTGTCGGGATTCGGTGTCATGGGTACTGTTGGGTCCTGTCCGTAATTCAAGTAAAACGGCGACTGTTGCGTCGTGGCTGATGGTGCGTTATTGTATGCGAACTCGATGAGTGGCAGCTGCTGTTCCCACGTATTCGGATCGTCGCACGTGGCTCGAATCAGCTGCTCCATGGTCTGATTTGTCCGTTCCGTCTGTCCGTCGGTTTCGGGGTGATAGGATAAACTGAACTGTAAGCGCGTGCCGAACTGCTGCCACAGGTTCCGCCAGAAGTTGCTTGTAAAATTCGTGTCTCGGTCGCTGATGATTGATGCGGGTATCCCGTGAAGTCGAACGACGGTGGTGATGAAGAGTCGGGCGGTTTCCTCGGCTGTGATTGATTTCCTGCATGCTGCGAAATGAGCCATCCTCGTTAGTCGATCGACGACGACCAGGATCGCGTCATTCCCACTCGCCCCAGCTGGTAACCCCGTGACGAAATCCATCGTCACCTGCTGCCAAGCACGCTCTGGGGGCGGGATGGGTTGTAATTGTCCCGCCGGCCGCTTCCTGCTTGACTTCATGAGCTGGCAAGTGGGGCACGATGCCACGTGTCGTTGCACATCGGTCAACATTTCTGGCCAGTAGTAGTACCGCTGCAGCTGCTGCCGTGTTTTTTCTACCCCGAAATGTCCCGAGGTAACTCCGTCGTGTGCTTCCTGTAACAGTAGTTCCCGCAGTAGCGTGTATCCTGGTACCCGGATGCGGTCGGTTCCAGCTTTTACGTAATAGACTCCTTTTGCCGCTGCGAATTGCTGTGAGTTGCCTCCTGTAAAGAACGGGTCTGTTTGATATCCGTGGGTAAATAGGCCTGTCAGTAGCGGGCTGGTCTGGGCGAGTAGTATCGCGTGGATCTGGGCAGTGGGGCGGGTCAGTGCGTCGGCGATATTCGAGGCTCCTTTTTTGTATGTGACCGTATAGTGAAAATTCGACTCGAGGAAATCGAGCCATCGAATTTGCCGTGGGTTGAGGTGGGGCTGTGCGCGGAGGTACTGTAGAGATCGATGGTCTGTCCGTACTGTCACGTCTACGCCGGTCAAGTAGCAGCGCCACACTTTGAATGCGTGCACGATCGCGAGCATTTCGCGGTCGTGTATCGGGTAATTTCGCTCAGGCGGATGTAATTTGCGTGATTCGTAGGCGATGGGTTGGAGGTCGTCGCCGAAGTCGTGTAACAGTACAGCTCCGATGGCGATGTCACTTGCGTCGGTAATCACTTCGAAAGGGCGGTGGGGATCAGCGATGCGTAGAACGGGTGGTGAACAGAGAACGTTTTTCAGGGCAGAGAAGGCAGTATGCTCTTTCTCCCCCCACGTAAAAGCGACCCCCTTACGCAGTAAATCAGTGAGTGGGGCTGTTAGACGTGCCATGTCGGGCACGAACCGTCGAACGTAATTAACAAAACCTAAAAAACTCTGCAGTTCCGTGCTGTTCGTCGGGGGGCGCCATGCTTTTACCGTATCCAGCTTCTTTGGGTCAATCTCAACCCCAGCCTCCGAAATGACGTGACCTAAAAACTCTAGCCTGTCCCGAAAAAACTCGCACTTGGAGCCCTTGGTGAGTAGCCGATGTTCCTCTAAAACCTTAAAAACTGCTTCAAGATCCACTAAGTGCTGCTGCTTATCGCGGCTGTAAACTAGAATATCGTCCAGATAAACTATCACGCATTTATCTAAAAGTGGTCTAAACGCCTCGTTCATGGTCATCTGAAATGTCGCAGGCGCGTCCGTCAGCCCGAATGGCATTACTGTATACTCGAATGACCCGTATCTAGTCCTAAATGCTGTTTTGGCGCAGTCCGATGGTTCGACCCGAATCTGATGGTAACCTCCCCGTAAATCTATTTTCGAAAAGACTCGTGCTGTTCGTAGTTGGTCGATCAGTTCGTCGGCGCGGAGGATGGGGTATCGCGATTTGACTGTTACCCTGTTAAGCGCTCGGTAGTCGATGCACATGCGAAACCCTCCGTCTTTTTTCGGTGTGAACAGTATCGGTGCGGCGAACGGTGACGAGCTCGGTCGGATAAACTGCTTCTCTAACAGACAATCTAACTGCTTCCTTAACTCGTCGAGCTCGGGCTGTGTCAGTCGAAATTGCCGCTGTACAGTTAGCTGTGCCCCGGTTCTAACTCGATCCTATGGTCGTGCGCCCGCTGAGGTGGCAGTCCCTGTGGTAAATCATCCAGAAATATCCCCGGGAACCGTTTCAGTAGTGCCTGTAGTTCGGTCGGTACAGCTGCCAGCAGTTTCTCCGAATCACTCGGCTGCTCATCTTTTTCTACGAGTGCGATATCCACTGCGTACACGTCAGCTCCAGCAGCGACAGCCCGTTTCATCGTGATGGCGTTGACCTGGACCGTCAAAGATTCGGGTGGTTGCCAGCGAGGTAGAACGACCCAGTTACCACTACTTCGCACTGTGCAGCTCCCCGTCGTCCAGTCGATCCGTGGGTTGTACCGTCGCAGCCAATCACGTCCCAATAAAATGTCGTGCCCATCCAGTGTCGTCGCGAGCATTTCCTGTGTAAACCCGAAGTTCCCCCCGCAGCGGACTTTTACGCGCTCCACCCTTTCCCGTATGGCCAGGGGCGTGCCGTCGACTAAGCGTGCATCTATCTCAGGTAAACATCGGTTAAGCGTTAACTGTAATTTTCGTGCGGTTGCAGTATTAACTAAGCTGTGGCTTGCTCCTCCGTCAATGAAGATCTTCACTGCTGCTCCCTGTATTTTCCCGTAGATCAGTACCGGGCAATCCGTCGCTGTACCCTCCTTATTCATCCGAGCCCGATCGATGGCGTGAATCGGTACTGTGACTCGGTGAGGGTCGGTGTGGTTGGGCGAGCAGGCAGTCTCGTCAGTAGTTGGCCCAACTTCTACTGACTGCTGGCGTTTCCCTGCCTCTGAGACTCCCTCCCCTGCTCTGCTCCTCGACGCCTCAGCTCCTCTGGACATTCGCTCTTGCGATGGCCCGGCTGGTTGCAAGCAAAGCAGCGCCCTCTAAACGGCGCGGCAGCTGCATTCGCTGCGACGGCATGTACAGTGGCGTGCTCGGTCGGTCCCCGAGGACGATGTCGGTCTCGGTCTCGGTCGGCGTAGGATATCGATTTTCTCGGCGAGCGCGAGGATCTCGTTGAAATTCGAGAACCCGCGTAGCATTATCTCGTGCGAGATGTCCGGCTTCAGCCCTCCGACGTAACGGTCCACCCGCTCCGCCTCGTGCATGTAGCCGACCTGTTCTCAAAGTGCGAGAAACCCGCTGGTGTAGTCTTGAACTGATCCGAGCTGGCGCCAAGTGCGCAGTTTCTGACGCGCCGAAATCGAGGCCGCGATCGGCTCAAAGCGCGCCCGAAGCCCTGCACACCACGCATCCCACGTGCTGTATTGGGCGGTTTCGCGGAACGAACTCCAGGTAACAGCTGGACCCGAGGGCCCTTCCTCGTGCGACGGTGGCTCGTAGGCGCGCGGCGACGTCACAATGACTCGCCACCAGTCCATGGCGGGGCCCCTGAGTAGTGAAACCGCATACCGGATCTTTGCGGCGTCCGACTCGACGTAGTTGGCGTCGAAAAACACATTCATCGTGAAGACCCACGATTGAACTGTCGGGCCGCCGCGTTGGCTTGGGTCGAAGCAGGGCGGGCGTTGCGGCTTGAGTGGCATTGGGGCCATCATGGCGTTCTCGCCACTTGTCGCCGCAAACTCCACGTGCCGACGGGCTTCTCGGGGCTCCCGTGGGCTTAATGCGCTCCTGTTCCCTCCCATGCCGGGCATCGGTTGGGCTGCGCCGTCACTGGCTGCGCCTGAGCGCTGTCCCGTGCTGTTGTGTTGCGTTGGTGTGCCAGATGAGATGACGATGGGCTCCTCCGAATGTGCAGATGCATTGGTTGGTGCGTGTGATGTCGTCGGTACGTTCACCGTTGACTGTTGACGGGCGGAGTCACGTTCCGCCGTGAGAGTCGCGATTTCGAGCGCCGAATCCTCCAATTGACGCACGAGACGATCGAGTTGCTCCTGCGTCAACGTGGCGAGATTGAAATCGGCCATGGCGGGGGTGTCGGGCAAGCTCAGCGAGAGCCTCGGTCGTGGCCGTGCGTGCTTTCGAGAGAGCACTACGAGCGGCGGTGCTGTGTCGCTGAGAGACGTCTACCCCCCCCAAAAAATTGAGATAGTGGGAAACGAAGGTGTGGATGCGGTCCGAGATGAGATCGTAGGCTCTGAATACCAAGTGTTACGAGTGCAATTGAGTGAACGAACGAGAATTGCACTATCGAAGCAAGAATACAATGAGCGAAGGCATGAGCGAAGGATTATATAGCGAAACTACAGTGGTAACGGTAATGGACTGTGGTTGTCGCGCGACGGGCCTGGGACTGAGGTTGGGAAAAGTGTCGAGGCGGAGGTCCGGAGCGCGGGTTACCGCCGAGCCGTGAGGTCAGGGTGCGACATGCGAAAAATGGCGGCGGATTATCGATGCGAGTGGTAACGGTGCTGACTGAGGTGCTACAGTGATGTACGCGTTGAGCAGGGATGCGAAGTAAGGAAAAGGAATTTTCCTTACATACTGACATAACATGCAAGGTACCACAAAACATCATCAGATTTAAGGTCAGCACTGTGCCTCACATGGAGCACAATGCCTCATTACTTGCAGCACTGGTAGTATAAATATACAAGTGAAATTTCCAGCATGAAGCACTAGTTTAGTCGAGTGTTTCCAGCATGCCTAAAAACCAATACGGGTGCAATGCAATAACATTTCAGCCTACAAAATTGGTGAAAATTTGTGCTCCACAAAAAGTTTTCATGTTCTACATAACTAATCAAGCTGTCGTGATAGACACTCTGCCTCATCTGCAGCACTCCTCTTGATTACCTTCATAGCCTGCCCCTCCTCCCCTTCATTCAGCTCCATCTCGTTCGGTGGTGTGCCTGGAGGCGACTCAACCTCAGGCTGCTTCGGCACCCGAACTATGGCTTCCGGCTGCGCTTCTCGCGCCAAAATTGCAGCAGCAGCTGAGGCAGACAAATGAGGGATTGCATGGGGTGATCTGCCAGCAGCAGCACTGCCTGCATTAGCCGCACCAGCAACGGCAGTGGAGATCCTCCCGGCCAATCCAGTGCCGCCAGGTGTTGCGGCACGGGATGGGGAGTGGGAGGAGGCGGTTGCAGTGGCGGCAGCGGCTGCTGCGGCGTTGCGAAGCGAAGCGAATGAGCGCACCTGGATTGGGATGAGGCAGCGCAGGGGGGGTGGGGATGGAGAGAAAGCAAGCAGTATGGGGCTTCAGAAAGAAGCATCTTGATGCAGAGGAGGCTCTGGGGGAAGAGGAGACAGAGAGGGGGTTTGGGATCAATGGGATGGGAGGCAGTTACCTGCTCCAGGCGTTACCTGCTCCAGGCGTTACCTGCTCCAAGCGTTAACTGCTCCAGGCTTTACATGCTCCAGGCGTTCCCTGCTCCAGGCGTTACCTGCTCCAGGCGTTCCCAGCTCCAGGCGTTACCTGCTCCAGGCGTTACCTGCTCCAGGCGTTACCTGCTCCAGGCGTTCCATGCTCCAGGCGTTACCTGCTCCAGGCGTTACCTGCTCCAGGCGTTACCTGCTCCAGGCGTTACCTGCTCCAGGCGGCGCGCTGCATCGAGGCGATCCTCGTTGTATGAGCTGGGGAACTGATGGGGGGCGAGAAGGAGGGCGAGGGGGAAGAGAGGAAAAGGGAGAGACCAAAGGAAGGAGAGTGACGAGGATCTTCTGACCGAAACAAATGTGAGTCTCTCAGCACGGAGAGTACACAGGGGCAGCTACAGGAGATAGGAAACAACCTCAGGCGGACATAAGATCCTCAAAACAAACGGTGAGTAATTTGCGAGGATCTCATTTCATCCCGAAAACCGCAAACTTCAAAGACAGAACAGAGAGGATAAGAGCTGCAACGGGCCCTCGGGTGATCGGCAAAAGGGAAAAACGGACAGGGTATCAGACGGACTGGCTGGTATGCAGGGGAAGAAAGAGGTGGGATCACAACTTGGTGCGCGGCTGGGTAAAGGGGGTTGGAGCAGAAGAAGCAGTGGGTGGTCTCGCGACGTGGGCAGGGGGACGGGGGATGGGACTCCAAATGTGTGGGTGACAGGGAGAGGAAGGGGGAGAAGAGATGCAAGGGGCTTACAAGGTGCGGGGCGTATCTCTGAATGGCTGCCAGCACTGCCGCGTGCCCCACAGGTGTCATCTGGGGGAGGTGGGGAGGTGGGAAGAGCGGGGGTGGGAGACAGGGGGAGTGGATGGGAGATTGTAAGTGTAGGGTGCGGGGCGTATCTCTGAATGGCTGCCAGCACTGCCGCGTGCCCCACAGGCGTCATCTGGGGGAGGTGGGGAGAAGGAGAGGTGGGAAGCGGGGGGGTGGATGGGAAAGAGCATGCATTGGGTCGCCGATTTTTCCCTGAATGACTACTACCACTTTCACTTGATTAGAAGGGCAGGCAGGGATAGAGCGGCTGACACTCACATGAGGATGAGGAGGTGGAAGGAGGGGTTAGTTAGTGCGAATGCAGGCGCTGCTCACTAATGAAACGGACCATGAGAGAGAGGCACACTGATGGAGGCACCCTGATGGAGGCACACTGATGGAGGCACCCTGATGGAGGCACCCTGATGGAGGCACCCTGATGGAGGCACCCTGATGGAGGCACACTGATGGAGGCACCCTGATGGAGGCACAGCGATGGAGGCACAGCGCACCCACCGAGATGAGCATGAGGACGCCAATGGGAATCACCGATGCCACGTCTGTCAACGTGCGCTAGAGAACCGTTGGAGAAAGAGGCAGATCCCTGCTTGTTGTGTTGATGTGCCCAGCTCTCTACCATCACAAGGACCGCTCCGCTTGAGAGCAGCACGCACCGGGATGAGCATGAGGAGGGCAAGGAAGGAGAGAGAGTGGCACGCTCACCGGGATGAGCATGAGGACGCCGATGGGGATCACTGATGCCACGTCTGTGAGCGCGCGTGTGTGAACAGACATGCTAGAGAGACACTCAATACATGCTAGCACAGCTCACACGCAATATGAGAGAGGGAGGCTCGCACCGGGATGAGCATGAGGATGCCGATGGGAATAACTGACGCCATGTCTGTGAGTGTGCGCTTCAAAACTTTCGCTTCCCGGTCAGTCAGGGGCTGCCCGAGTGCTGCCCGCTGCAGCATCTTCATTGCAACTGCCACGTCTGTGCTGAGGAGCTGAGTCCCTCGCCATGCATCCTGGGAACACGTAGGGAGTGACATTATGGGAGCATGGGGGGTGAGGGGGGTAATGCGGGGTGACAGGGGGACATGGGCGGGTGAGGGGGGTAATGTGCTGCCTGTTGCAGCATTTCATGGCCATTGTCACGTCAGTGCTCAGGAGCTAAGCGCCCTGCCACGCGTCCTGGTAAGGGGGATGGTGGGGACAGGAGAAATTTGATGATAGCGAAAGATGGGAAAGCAGTGACGCGTGGCTGCTGCATGACTTGCATGCCCCCTCTCTCCCATCCCCCACTCTTCTTACCTTCCACCCCGCCTTCTCGAGCGTGCTCAAGAGACTGGTCAATGACGCTCTTCTCCTGCCTCTTCCACTCTCAACCAACCACCCTCAACCACTCTCAATCGCTCTCCCACCCCCTCCAACCCTTTCTTACCGCCCCGCCTTCTCGAATGTGCTCCAGAGATTGGTCAACTAAATATTCTCCTGCCACTCCCCCGTTCCCAACTCCTCTCAACCACTGTACTGTCCCATTCCCTCCAAGCCATTCTTACCGCCCCGCCTTCTCCAGCGACTGGTCAATCATGCTCTTCTCCTGCCTCTCCCCCTTTCAACCCCTCTCAACTGCTCTCCCACCCCATTCAACCCATTCTTACCGCTCCGCCTTTTTGGTTGTGCTCCAGAGACTGATCAATGACGCTCTTCTCCTGCCCCTTCCCCTCTCAACACCCTCAACCTCCTCTGAACCGCTCTCCCACCCCATCCAACCCATCCTTACCGCTCCGCCTTCTCGAATGTGCTCCAGGGACTGATCAATGACGCTCTTCTCCTGCCTCTCTCCCTCGCCCGCCCGGCTCGTCACATCGCTCCCCTCCCACTCATCCAGGCCCCCGCTGCTGCTGCCATCCGGCCCTCCCCTCCCCCCTCCCACACTCCACGAGTCACCAGGAGCGGCAGCAGCCGCAGCACCACCACCAGCAGCAGCACCAGCAGGAGAAACACCACCAACAGCAGCAGCAGCAGAACCACCCCCAGCAGCAGCAGCAGCAGCAGCAGCAGCGGAGGAGGAGGCAGAGGAGGGGAGGTTCCAAGAGGAGGAGTCAAAGAGTTGGTCGAAGATGGAGGGTGCCTTGGGAGGGGACGTTTGGGTGGCCGCCTCCCGCTCAAGAGATGTAGATGCTGCTGCTGACGTGCCAGCAGCAGCAACACCAGAAGCAGCACCAGCAGCAGCAGCAGCCATCTTTCCCTCCCTACCAGCACCAGCAACAGCACCAACGTCAGCACCTCGCTGCAGCAGTCTCGCCTCGAGCTCCCTTAACTGCACCTTCAGCTGCTGCAGCCTACTCGCCTCTGCTCCCAGCCCTCCCATGCTCGCTGCCGCATGCCTCCCATCCCCATCCCCATACCCAGCCGCTACATCTGCCTCTGCTGCACCTGCCCATGCTCTCTCGTCAAAGAACTCTTCTCTGAATGCCCAAGAGCTGTTGGCATCCTGTGCTTCACTCCTCTCCTCCTCTCCCCGACCTCCCTGCCCTCCCTTTTCTCCATCCCCTCCATCCCCTATCCCCCCCCGTTGCAACTGCGCTGGTGCCGGTGCCTCTCTTTGCATCTGCGCCTGCCCCTGCGCCTGCACCTGCACCTGGGTCGCTGCAGCCCTCCCAGGCCCAGCAGTTCCATCTCTTTTGCCTGGCTCGCTGCTGCTAGCAGCAGCAGCACCACCGCTAGCAGTAACAGCCGCTGCTTGTGCTGACGTGGGCGTGAACGATTGGAAGGGAGAGAAATCATCGTCATCATACTCCACCCGCGTTCCCTGAACACCAGACCCACTTATATCCCTCTCCATCTCTTCCAAACTCCCCCTTCTCCCTGCTACACCTCGCACCTCTGTGCTCCCTCCCCTGCTTCTGCTACTGTCCTCCCTCTCTTCCTCCCCATCCGCCTCCTCTCCCTCGGTTTTGGAAAGAAGCGATGAGTCTTCCCGGGCAGCCTGCCCGGGCAGCTGGAAGAAAAAACTGCGGCCAGAGCGGGCGGCAGGGGCGGCAGGGGCAGTATCAGTGGTGACGGGAGCAGCAGTGCTAGTGGAAAGGAAAGCAGAGGTGAGGTAGGAGGGGAAGGGCGAGTCAGCGAGCGCTGACGTGTCATGAGACGATTGGCTCTTGTGGAGGGAGGAGTAGTGGGGAGCGGGAGGGTAGTCGTAAGCACCAACTATAGAGGCGATAGTGGCGGTGGTGTCAGTGATGGTGGTGGTGCTGGTGGCGGTGCTGGCGTTGGCATTGGCGTTTGAAGGAGTGAGGGAGGGAGAGAAGGAGAAGAGGTCCCCGAGTGTGCCCAGGAAACTGAGAGGAAGGGGGAAGGGGGGAGGGGAAAAAGGGGAGGTGTGCGGGAGGCTTATTAGAGCTGAAAACACTAACCGAAACAAACAATCACGCAGATTTATAAAAGTTACACAGCTGAAAGACAATTACTGAAGGCGAAAATGACAAGGCACTCGAAGAAGCTGATGCATGCATACCCCATGCTATGGCTCCTCGGGTGCCTATGTGGTATAGATTGGATAAACCACATGACGAACGTTCCACTCTACATGCATACCCCATGCTATGGCTCCTCGGGTGCCTATGTTGCTGCTGCTGCTCCATCTGCTGCTCCATCTCACGTGCTGCCGCCTGCCTCCTCTGCCGACTCACCTTCTCCCCCACCTCCTCCTGCACATCACAGGGATAAGTCAGAAGGATACAGACGAGAGAGGCCAGTTAGAGAGACTCCTCAAAAGAGAGGGGTGAAGAGTGCGAGAGAGGGGAGAGCTGTCAACTACTCTCCTCACCTGCTGCCATCACCCCCTCTCTTCCATCTCACCTGCTGCCATCACCCCCTCTCTTCCATCTCACCTGCTGCCATCACCCCCTCTCTTCCATCTCACCTGCTGCCATCACCCCCTCTCTTCCATCTCACCTGCTGCCATCACCCCCTCTCTTCCATCTCACCTGCTGCCATCACCCCCTCTCTTCCATCTCACCTGCTGTCGTCGCACCCTCTCCTCCTGCACAGCTGCTTTCATCTTCAGTCGTCTCTCCAGCTCTGTTAAGCACTGTGCTGGCTCTCACCCTCTCCTTCACCCTTTCTCTTCCCCTCTCACCTGTTGTCGCCGCACCCTCTCCTCCTGCACAGCTGCTTTCATCTTCAGCCGTCTCTCCAGCGCTCTGATCTCCTCCCTTACCCGCACCAGCCTCTCCCACTCCACGCGCACCAATGCCAATCTTTCACTCGTCCCCGCCCCTGCTGCCTTCCCTTTGGCCCCGCCCGCCCCTGCCGCTCTCCCTTCCATGGAACCTGCTGAACTCGTATGCGCCACATGTTTCTGTGCGGCATTTGCTCCAACCTCTTCTTCCCCATCTCCCCTTCCTCCCGCTGCCCCTTCTCCCTCGGCCCCTGTCCTCTCTCCCTTAACTCCCTCCTCTGCTCTTTCCCCTGCCCCTTCTCTTGCTGCTGCTGTGTCATCTGCACCCTTGCCTGCTTTCCCAGCAGCTGAGTGTGAATGCGAGTGAGAGTGAGAGCGTGAATGTGAGTGTGAGTGTGAGTGAGAGTGAGAGTGTGAGTGTGAGTGTGAGTGTGCATGTGAGTATGAGTGTGAGTGAGAGGGAGCATTGCCTCTAAGCCCAGCACTCTCTGCCTCCACCACCTTCATCAGCCGTTCCACTATCTCGTCCACAGACAGAAAATCCTGAGAGGATAGCAGGGAAGAAAAGGGAGAGGATCAAGAGAGGGAGAGGAAGAAGAGATGAGGGAGGAAGAAGAGATGCGCGACTGACCCACCAGCCTCATCAGCCTCTCCACTATCTCGTCCACAGACAGAAAATCCTGCCAAGAAAAGAGAATGAGAGCGTGGAGCTACGGGCATGGGTGAGTGTGCATGGGAATGAATGGGAGCTTCATCAGTCTCATCAGTCTCTCCACTGTACTCCAAAGGTAGAGAATTCTGATGGTAAAAAAAAAGAAACCCTAAGGGAGCTTTTCCTCTCATCCCAATCCTCACATCAGTTGCTCCACTATCTCATTAACAGACAAAAAAAGTCCTGCCGGGAAGAATGCTGCAGAGCAGCAACGGAAGGGGAGAAAGATTAAGAGCACATTCCCAATCCATGATCAGCATCATCCTCCTCCTCACTTGGTTCAGCGCCCTCAACTCCCTCTCCATGACCTAAAGCCCCCTCAGCTCCTTGCCAAGGTCATGCTCATCCACATTCACCATCAATCAGCACCCATCAGCACCCATCAGCACCCATCAGCACCCATCAGCACCCATCAGCACCCATCAGCACCCATCAGCACCCATCAGCACCCATCAGCGCCCATCAGCACCCATCAGCACCCATCTGCAACCTCCTCACCTGATTCAGCGCCTTCAACTCCCTCTCCATGACCCCCAGCCCCCTCAGTTCCTTCTCCAGCCGCCATGTGCCTCAACAATCTGATGAGTAGATGCACCTAAGTCATGGTAACCCGCTCCTCCCCACCTGATTCAGCACCTTGAGTTCTCTCTATATGACCTTCAGCCCCCTCAGCTCCTCGCCATGTACACTCAACCACACATACACAACCAATCCAAACCAAGCATTAGCACCCATCAGCACCCATCTGCACCCTCCTCCCCACCTGGTTCAGCGCCTTGAGTTCCCTCTCCATGACCTTGAGTCCTCTCAGCTCCTTCTCCAGTCGCCTCCTCACCTAATGGTCTCCGCTGATCTGATCTGATCTGATCTCAAGATGCAACTGACTGAGTCACAGTCAGCATCCTCCTCCTCACCTGGTTCAGAGCCTTGAGTTCCCTCTCCATGACCTTCAGCCCCCTCAGTTCCTTCTCCAGCCGCCTCCTCGCCTCCTCCCTCTCCCTCGCCTCCCTCTCCACCTCCTCCATCTCGCCCATCTCCACCGCTCTCGACCCCTCTAAACGCCTCTCGGCCTCGTTGGAGGAATCGGAGTCAGAAGAGGGGACTAGCACGCCTGGCACCCTGCAAGAGGGAGGGGGGAAGGGGGAGGGGGGAGGGGGGAGGGGGAAGGGGGAAGGGGGGGGAAGAGGAACCGGGGAATGGGGGATGGTTGGGAGAGGGAAGAGAGGGCGGAAGGGGAATGGCAGGTGGTTGGGGAAGGATAGGAGGGAGGGGAAGGGAGGGGGGAGGGAGGGCAGCTGAAAGGGGTGTGCGGAAGGGGAAGGGGGGTGGGACTGCGAGGGGAGGGAGGAAGACGATGGTATGGGGGAAAGGGAGCGCCATAGTTTCCAGGTTGTATGGGGGAAAGGGAGCGCCATAGTTTCCAGGTTGTATGGGGGAAAGGGAGCGCCATAGTTTCCAGGTTATATGGGGGAAAGGGAGCGACGTAGTTTCCAGGTTGTATGGTGGAAAGGGAGCGCCATAGTTTCCAGGTTGTATGGGGGAAAGGGAGCGCCATAGTTTCCAGGTTGTATGGTGGAAAGGGAGCGCCATAGTTTCCAGGTTGTATGGGGGAAAGGGAGCGCCATAGTTTCCAGGTTGTATGGGGACCAATGGGGTCGTGCGAGTAACCAGTACTCATTTCTCGAGTCGACTAAAAAATGGGACCAATGGGGTCGTGCGAGTAACAAGTACTCATTTCTCCTCAAACTCACATACTCACTCACCACATTGACTCGCTGAGCCCACTCACTCACTCACTCACTCTCCTCGTACTCACTCACTCCTCACTCTCCTCGTACTCACTCACTCACTCACTCTCCCCTTCACACTCACTCTGCGGCCACATGGTGTTTGGTTGATGGCTCCAAGCACAGCCCCAGAAGAACCAAACTGGAGGGGTGGAGAGGGGTGCGGAGGGGTGGGGAGGGGCGGAGACAGATAGAGAGAAACAACATTTAATCTGCCTCAGAAGCTGCTTGGTTGACGGCTCCAGACACAGCCCCCCCCAGCTGCATCATGCTGAGGGGTGGAGAGGGGTGCGGAGGGGTGGGAAGGGGCGGAGACAGATAGAGAGGGTCAAAATTAAATCTGCCTCAGAAGCTGCTTGGTTGACGGCTCCAGACACAGCAACAGCTGCATCAAGCTGAGGGGTGGAGAGGGGTGGCTCTAGAAGAACCAGCAACACCTTTCACCCCTCTTCACCCCTTTACAGCCTTCTACAGCCCTCTACACTCTCTTTTTCACTCCTCTTCAGCCATTTAAACCCATCTTCACTCCTCTTCACCCCTCTAGGCCCCATCACCACCACACACACACACTCACCCCTGTGCCATGAAAGCAGCAGCTCGCGACTCAGGCTGCTGCAGCAGCCAGCTGGAGTGCCGCTCCCAATCCCTCGCCCACATGCCGCACACCTCCTTACCCACCAGCACTGCTCTGCGCCGCCTCCTCCGCTGCCGGTGCCGCTGCCGCTGTGCCGAGCGCGGCGAGAGGGAGGAGGGGTCAACGTCAGGGTGGCGTTTGGAGGAAAGAGGGGGAAGGAGCGGCAGCCAGGCGAGCTCTTCTCTTAGGACCTGATGCAGGAGGAAAGGAGGGGGAGGGAGGAGGGAGACGAAGGTAAGGGCAGGAATGGGAGAGAGGGAGGAGGGGTCAACGTCAGGGTGGCGTTTGGAGGAGAGGGGTGGGAGGAGCGGCAGCCATGCAAGCTCTTCTCTTAGCACCTGAGGAAGGGGGGAAGAAAGACAAAGTTAACGAAAGGATGGGGAGAGAGGGAGGAGGGGTCAGCGTCAGGGTGGTGCTTGGAGGAAAGAGGGGAGAGGAGCGGCAACCAGGCGAGCTCTTCTCTTAAGACCTGAGGGGTTGGGGAACGGGGAGGAGGAGGAGAAATATCGAAGATGGGGCGAGAGGGAGGAAAGGTGGCGCTTGGAAGAAAGAGGTGGGAGGAGAGGCAGTCAAAAGAGCTCTTCCCTTAGGACCCGAGGGAGATGCGGAAAGGGGAGGGCAGTGCAAGGTTGGGAAGAAAAATCGGGGAAGGGAGGATGGGTGGAGGTGTAGTTTGCAAGAGGGCTAGGAGGAGGTGGGGCAGTGAGGCAAGCTCCTCCATTAGATTAGAACCACCCTGATCTAATCGTGGCCTGAAATGCTCCTCACCTTCACAACGCCTAGGAACTTGGACGTTGTCGAGGTGGGGGCAGGCGGGAGGGATTCCATCTGTACCTGCTGCTACCGCAGTAAACCATCTGTCACCTCCACAAACCCCTCACATCCAAGAGTCCCTCACCTCCACAAGCCGCTGGTACTTAGATATGTTGTCAAGCTGGGGGAAGGTGAGTGGGATTCCATCTGTACCTGCTGCTACCGCACTAAACCACCTGTCATCCTGACCAACTCACCTCCACGAGCCCTTGGTACTTGGATATGTTGTCCAGCTGGGGGAAGGTGAATATGATTGCACCCTCGAAGTGACTGGGGGAATGAAAAGGGGAAGCAGGAGAGAGTGAGGGGGTTGGGGGAACACGGAATGAGGGGAAGAGAGGGCCTTGCTTGCAACCTGCTAGAATGCTGGGTAGGCTCAAAATGTCTAGGGAGAAAGTGACGAGCCAGGGGAATGAAGGGGTATTGGAGGGAGTGATAGAAAGATGGGAGCAGATGACATGCAACAGAAAGGAACAGAGCAAGGGGCATTGCAGCCAAACATCATCAGCATCCATACCCCATGCCAAGCCACCATAACCATACCCATGCCATCATCATCGCACACATTCCATAACCACCATCACGCATATCCCCATCACCCACGTCAGCAATGTCGCCAGCCCCTCATCCGCCTCGCTGGCGCCTTCCGATTGGAGGAACAGCCGTGTCGCCCGCCCAAGAGCCACAAAGAAGCCAAAAACCGCCAGCTCAGCTTTCAAGCTCTCACCTCCGCCCTCCCCTCCGGCCCCCCACTCCCCCTCAGCTTCCCCCCAATCCTCGAAAATTTTCTCCCGGACCAGCGCTGCCCGCAGCTGCCGTTCCACCAGCTGCACCCAGAAGCGGCGCTCGCCGGGCAGCACGCGAAAGTTCAGGTGCCCGCCCGCACGCTGCCCGAAGTGCGAGAGGAACTCGGTGCGCAGCCCCGCCCGCACTGCATGGCGATACACATCATCTATGTCTGCTGCTCTTAACAGGTGGTCGAACAAATGGCGCAGCTGGTGGGTGGTGGGAGAGGAGTGGGGGGGTGAGAGAGAGGAGAGAAGAAGCATGGCGGTACACATCGTCAATGTCCGCTGCACTAAGTAAGTGGTCAAACAGATGGCGCAGCAGGTGGGTGGGTTGGGGGAAAAGGGGGGCGGAAGTGGGGGAAAGAGTGGGGGGAGTGGGGATTGGAGTGTGAGGGTAACTCGGCGTGCAGCCCTGCACTCACGGCGTGGAGATGCACTCACGGCGTGGAGATGCACTCACGGCGTGGAGATGCACTCACGGCGTGGAGATGCACTCACGGCGTGGAGATGCACTCACGGCGTGGAGATGCACTCACGGCGTGGAGATGCACTCACGGTGTGGAGATGCACTCACGGTGTGGAGATGCACGTCGTCAATTTCGGCCGCTCTCAATAGGTGGCTGAACAGATGATGCAGCTACAGCAGGGGTGCGGGTGGAAGTGGGGGACTGGGGGGTTGAAGGGAGGAAAGGGTGAGTCAAAGCGGAGCACTGCCATGACATTGACACCACGATGGTAGACGTTGCCAATGTCTGCTTTTGACACGTCTCAAGAGCTCTTCACAGGTGGTCCAAGAGGTGGCGTGGCGCACACGGCCCATTAGCCTGCTGCTCACCAGCCCTGCACCCATACACTCACCTGCCCTCCAATGCACTGCTCACCTGCCCCTCCACGCTCCCCCACCCACCTGATCCTCCAGCAGAATGGAGAATGCGGCGCAGCAAATAACTCGACTCAACCCTCCACCCACAAGCTCACCTGCTCCCCTTGACTTGACTCGACTGCCACTGCAACCCTCACCAACTCCCTTTGACTTGCTTTAATCCTCTCTCCACCGCCCACCTGATCAGGTGCCCACCAGCAGAACCGAGAATGCAGCGCAGCCAACAGCCTCGGGCAGGGCAAAGAAGTGCATGGCGCAGATGATCTCTCTCTCTTTGCTGCTCACTTGCCCGCCCACCCCACCCACCCTCTGCTGCTCACTAAAACGCCCACCTGGTCCTCCAGCAGGACGGAGAATGCAGCGCAGCCAACAGCCTCAGGGGGAGCAAAGAAGCGCACGGCGCTGATGATCTCCCTCTCTCCGCAGCTCTGCTCACCTGCCCCTCCTCCACCCTCTCCTGCTCACCTGATCCTCCAGCAGAACCGAGAACGCGGCGCAGCCAACAGCCTCGGGCGGGGCAAAGAAGCGCACAGCGCCGATGATCTGGAACAGCAGCAGGAACAGCGCCATGTCACTGTCCGCCAGCCGGGCGGCACCTGCCACGTGGGCAGACGACGATGTGCCACGTGGCGCCAGCGATGCTGACGTGGCGGTGGGTGAGAGAGCGGCATGAGGAGGGTGGGGGAGCCCGTCGTCCAGCCCAGAGGCCTTTGCGGATAGCTGCACGTCCTGGCTGGAGGGGGAAGCGGAGAGACGGAGGGGTGGTGGAGTGCGGTGCAGTGAGATGCTGGGGTGAGCGGGGTGGGGTGGGGTAGCCCGTTGCCCAGCCCAGAGGCCTTGGTGGAAAGCTGCACGTCCTGGCTGGACGGGGGAGGGGGGGGGCAAGGGGGAGGTGTTTAGGAGATATCTGAGAAAGAGGACAGACACATGGCATGGCACATCGATGCACCACGGTGAGCATGGTTAGCAGATGAGCAGACTGGTCAGCTGCTAACCATGCTTACCGTGCTGCATTTATATGCCGTGTGATGAGGGAGGTGAAACGCAGACAACACGCACAGAGCCCCGACCTAGCCAGCTCACATGGCGGCCGTGATAGCATATCGGTGCAGCACGGTGAGCATCGTCAGCAGCGCCTCAAACGCCCCTGGATACGCCCTCCCCCAGAACCACCCGTCCATGCCCCCTCCATCCGCCTCCCCCCCACCCTGCTGCTCCCTGCCCTGCAGTTCCCTCTGCTGCGCCAACTCATAGCGCATGAAGCTTTCTAGAGGCTCGCATAAGCGCGCCAGGCTGAATAGCACCCACGTGGACGCGTCACTGCCACCCGCATCCGCCCCTCTGCCGGCCACATAGGTCCCTCTGCCGCCCCCACTGCCGCCCGCCCTGCTCTGCCCCTCTGTTTCCCCGCCCTCCGCCCTGCTCTGCCCTTCCTCCTCCGCCGCCCTCTCCCTCACTCTCCCCATCTCCCGCCCCTCCTTCCCCCCCCCCTCCACCTCCTCCTCCGCCTCCCACTCCTCTTCCTCGCTACAGCCGCCGCTGCTGTAGCTGCTGCTGCTCCTGCGGCGGGTGAGGTGGGCTGTAGCAGGGGCAGTCCCCGGTGCTGTTGCATGCGCGTCTGACGCTCTACTGGATGCTTTATCAGCTGTAGCAGCTGTACCGGCTGTAGCAGGGGGTGCAGTGGTGACGGAGCGAGTAATGAGCTCCATGGCCGCCTTGAGCACCGCCACCACTGCCGCCTGAAATGCACAAGGAGCATGGGAGCATGTGAGCATGGGAGCATGGGAGCATGGGAGCATGGGAGCATGGGAGCATGTGAGCATGTGAGCATGTGAGCATGTGAGCATGTGAGCATGTGAGCATGTGAGCATGTGAGCATGTGAGCATGTGAGCATGGGAGCATGGGAGCATGGGAGCATGGGAGCATGGGAGCATGTGAGCATGTGAGCATGTGAGCATGTGACCATGTGAGCATGTGAGCATGTGAGCATGTGACCATGTGAGCATGAAGCATTGGGAATGGTATGAGGTGAGGAGTGGGGGTTCTTAGGGCCTGCTCTTATTTTTGAGTCCACTCAAAAGCCACCTGCTGCACCAACGACCATCACCTCTGCACTGACTAACACTTCCCCCTCTTCACGTTGCTTCTAAGTCTCTCACAAACCAGCTCGTTCCCCATCCCTCCTTCACCCATGCCCATCCCACTCCCCATCACCGCACTGCACACCTGGCACCCGACGCGCTTCACCCATTCGTCCGTCTCTCCGCCGCCCGGCCCCGCGAGCGCGAGCCAGCTGCCCACGCGGAAAAAATCCCCCGCCGCCCCCCCTCTGCTGCGGAACTCCCGCACCTCCTCCTGCACCTTCCGCGACGCCTCCGCCAGAGCTTCCGCCAAGTCCCGCCACGACGACTTTCTCCGCCCGGGAGGGCCGCTAGCTCCGCCGCTTCCGCCGCTTCCGCCGGTTCCGCCGATTGCGCCAGTAAGTCCGCCTAATCCGAGCCCCAGCAGCGCGGATCCCCCCGCGACTTGCTGCGAAGCTAGCTCCTCCTCCTCAAATTCCTTCCGCCAATCCCACGGTTCACCCATCTTCACCGCACCCAACTCCTGCTCAGATTCCTCCACTTCCCCTTCCGCCAAATCCCGCGCGAAAGCGGATAAGCGGATTCGCGCGGTCAGCGCAGTCAGCGCGTTCCACCAGCGGGGTTGCTGCCAGCGCAAGTCCGCGGCGTCGCGGCGGAGATATCCGCGCGGAGCGGACCAGGCGGAGGCGGAAAGCGCGGACGGCGCGGACTCGTGGCGGTGGAGCTGACCAGGAAGCGGGGGGACAACGTCCGCGGGAGGCGCGCGGTCGCAGGGAGAGGGGAAACAATCTGAGGCTGGTCCCGAGGGCTCGCGCGGCTCGGCGGAGACGGAGGGATTGTAGGTACGCGGAGGGCGGTGGGGAAGCTCTAGCCCGACTTCCCCAGTCGCACCGACTAAGGGCTGAGCAAGGTAAGACATGTGCAGCCTGCACCAGATAATTATAGGAAAGGTGATTCGAATGGTAAATTATTTATAATATTATTAGAAATCACTCAAAGCGGACATCGGTCCCATGATCTAGCGGTTATGATGTCAGACTCTGAATCTGAATGCCCGAGTTCAATTCTCGGTGGGACCTCTTGCTTCTCTTCTATGTCATCTGATTCGACTTTTGTGGCTAAGGATCTGACACGTGTCTAGGTCTCAATGGCTTATAGCTAACCTGTCAGCGGCTCGACTTTGCGGGACGTGCTTGACGACCAAAGTGAACCACCATCCATCGTTTCGATCGTTACGACCCTGACGACAGTCGCGCGATGCAGCTTTGCTTCGCCAAACTTGGCCGTCGTACACCAAAAACCCCACTATTTGGGGGTCGTCAGTGTTCGCGCAGTGTCGGAGGGGGTCGTTCAAGCAGTCGCCTGTTTTCGAGGTGGCCTGTTCGTACCAGCCCAGAATTCTGGCTGCAATTCTGTAGCGACAAAAAGAGCCACGAGCTGTGGTCCTAATTTTGACTTCTGTAGCCACAGGACCGAGGTTGCACTAAGTAGTGAACATCAAGCGAATCGCGAATGTAACTTACGGTATTTTTCTATTAAAAATGAACTGTTTCATTCATCGCCCAGTGTTCTGGAAATCATCGAACCTGGTGACGGCAGCGACGGTGGGCGACGGTGGCGACTGTATCGCATGGGGTTGCGCGACGCAGCTGTGCTCCGCCCGCATGCCGCTTTTTCCCCTACCGCGCGATCCCCCCCGGCCCCCCCTGACGGTGGTACCATTAGCGAAGCACCTCTCGCGGCGGAGCAGGCTCCGTTCCCATACCGCTCGCTACTAACCCTCGCGACGCACCGCGTCGTCGCACTCATTCTCCTCGCGGCGTGCGTCGCGGCGGGGCTCCTCGCCTCTCGCGCGCGCAGCACCGCGCCGCTGCCGGAGGCAAGGAGGGCGGAAACGGCCGCGACGGGGCTGCTTGCCTCTCGCGCGCACAGCCCGGCGCAGCTGCCGGGGGCGTGGGGGGCGCCGGAAACGGCAGGCGAAGAGGGAAAAACCGAAAACGGTGTGGGAAATCGGAATTCCGGAACTCAAAAATCGAAAATCTGGAAATCGAAAATTCGTAATTCGGAAATCCGGAATTCGGAAATCCGGCAGTCGGAGTTAGAGGCGTGGGAGCAGCAGCGGCGCGTGTATCGCGATGAGGTAACGCGCGCCGTCGCGCGCGGGGAGCGGTACTACCTGCTATCCTCCGCGACTGACCGTTGCGTGGGGCAGTCGCACTGGTCGTGGTCGCTGCGCTGCGCGGCGGCGGAGGCGAAGGCGCTTCGGCGCGCGCTGGTGTTGGTGACTGACCGTTGCTTGCACCAGGCGCACTCGCGGACGGGCAGGGACGAGCATGGACACGTGGGGCTGTATTACAACCTCACCACCATGATGAGGTGAGGGGGAGGAGACGGAATGGTGTTGTACGGTGCAGTGCGGAATGGTGTGGTGCGGTGTGGTGTGGTGTGGTGTGGTGTTGTGTGGTGCGTTTTCAGGCCCGCTTTGCCTCGTGGGAGTGGGACGCCACACCCACGCCCTTTTCCCTCTTCTGTTTTCACCCCAATCCCCTCACTCCCCGACTCCTTTCAGCTGGCAACCAATCGTTTTCTTGGAGCATTTTCGGCTTGTGGGAGTGGGATGTCAAGTCCAGCCCATGCCTTTCTCCCTCTTCCGTTTCCCCCCGCCCTAGCCGGCAACCGATAATTTTCTTGGAGAATTTTCAGGCTCGCTTCGGTTCCTGGGAGTGGGACGTCATACCCATGTGCAAGTTCCCCCTTCTTTTCCCCCCTGGTTTCACGTGGGGATGGGACGTCATACCCATGCGGAACGGGAGGGATGAGCATGGGCACGTGGGGCTGTTCTATAACCTCACCACTGCACCGCAGTGGGGTGGGGTGGGGTGCGGTGGGGTACTGTGTGGCTGAGAGGGCGTGTGCTGTGGGTATTGTGGGACAGACGAGCATGGCATGGCACGTGAGGCTGTTCTATAATCTCACCACCATGGTGAGATACGGTGCAGTGCGGTGCGATGGGGTGGGGTGGGGCAGTGTGTGGTGTAGTACTCATGCAGCATTCCGCGCCGTGCTTCGGGGCATGGGAGTAGGATGTCTCGACCATGCCTTTTTTTGCTTCTGTTTTCCCCCACCACCCCCCCCCCCCCCCCCCCCCCCCAATGAATTTCTCGCACGTGGGAATGGGACGTCAAGTTGCCCACCTGACTTTTGAGTCGACTCGAAAGTCACTTCGTGGGAGTGGGACGTCAAGTTCCCACTCTCCTCACCACTTTCCCCTTGCATCCTGCTTTCTCTCGTCTCCTGCTTCACCCAGCCGCCAGCCTATAGTATATATGCAGCATTTTCAGGCTCGATTCGGCTCGCGGGAGCGGGACGTCAAGCCCAACCCATGCCTTTTCCCTCTTCCGTTTTCCCCCTGCCCCAGCCGGCAGCCAATAATTTTCTTGGAGCATTTTCAAGCTCGCTTCGGCTCGTGGGAGTGGGACGTCATACCCATGCGCAAGTTCCCCATTTGCCTCACTGCTTGTTCCTCTCCCTGCCCCTACGCTCCCTCCCCCCAGCCGCCAGCCTATAGTCTTCTTGGAGCATTTTCAGGCTCGCTTCGGCTCGTGGGAGTGGGAGGTCATACCCATGCGCAAGTTCCCCATCGGGCCGCGCACAGGCGAGCTGGCCGTGTGGAGGAACGTGTTTCTGGTGGTGCGAGCACCGCAGGAGGGGCAGTATGGGTTCATGCTGTGCGATAAGGAGCACAAGCAGGTGAATGGAGGGGGGCGGGAGAGTGGGATGCGTGGAATGTGGGAGAGAGGGACAGTACGGGTTTATGCTGTGCGGCAAACAGCACAAGCAGGTGTGGAATATGGGAGCGGAGGGGCAAGAAGCACAAGCAGGTGCAGGTGCATGGTTAGGAGGGACCTCACGAGTGCGTGTGTGGGTGCTATGGGGCGTAGTGCAATGGGGCGTAGTGCAATGGGGCGTAGTGCAATGGGGCGTAGTGCAATGGGGCGTAGTGCTGAGTTGGTTCAGACACACCTTGCTGCTCTTCCCCATGAGTGAGGGCCTCTGGGACCTCCCCTTCCCCACGCCAGGACAACGCCACCTTCGACCCTCTGACCTGCCCATCCCTGCACCTGTGTTCTATCCGTGCTCATGTCCCCATCCCCTTCCCCATCCCCATCTCCATCCCCAGAACCACGACAACGCCACCTTCGACCCTCTGACGTGCCCATCCCTGCACCTGTGTTCTATCCGTGCTCATGTCCCCATCCCCTTCCCCACGCCATGACAACGCCACCTTCGACCCGAGTCCCTCTTCCCCAACGATGCATCCAACCGCCTCACAGTTACTGCCTCATGCTCACACATGCATGCATGCACCTGCATCCATCCGTACCCCTGTCCCCATCCCCATCTCCATCCCCATCCCCAGAACCAGGACAACATTACATTCGACCCTGAGTTTCTCTTCCCTAATGACGCATTCACCCGCCTCAAAGTTACTCTCACGCACTCAAGCATGCATGCACCTTGCACCTGTGACCCTGCCCCTTGTCTCAATACCCCTCTCCCCATCCCCAGAACCAGGACAACATCACATTCGACCCTGACTTCCTCTTCCCCAACGACGCATTCACGCGCCTCGCACACGCCATGGCTGATGCCATGGGCGGCCCACACCGCTTTGACTACATACACGTGCGGCGGGGGGACAAGCTGGACGCTAGGCGCTGGCCGCACCTGGATCGAGACACCAGGCCCGAAGCGTGAGTGCTCTGTTGAACCTGCCCTATCTGTCAAGAGTGACAGCAGCACCGCTTTGACTATGTGCACATGCGGCGGGGGGACAAGCTCAATGCTACACGCTGGCCGCACATGGATCGAGACACCAGGCCTGAAGCGTGAGTGCATGCTCCCCCTCTTCCCCATGCCATGGGAGGGCAGCCCACACCGCTTTGACTACCTACATGTGCGGCGGGGAGACAAGCTGAATGCTATGAGATGGCCGCACCTGGATCGAGACACCAGGCCTGAAGCGTGAGTGCCCTGTTGAACCTGCCCCGTACACCTGACCAGAGCAGCACCGCTTTGACTACATACACGTGGGGCGGGGAGACAAGCTCAATGCCACCTGATGGCCTCGTTTGGACCATGACACACGGCCCGAAGCGTGAGTGCTCTGTTGAACCTGCCCTATCTGTCAAGAGTGACAGCAGCACCACTTTGAGTATGTGCATGTGCGGCGGGGGGACAAGCTCAATGCCACCCAATGGCTGGCCCCATCTGGATCGAGAAACGCGGCCCGATGCGTGAGTTCCCAATTAGATATGCACCGTCTCGGGCTTGAAGTGTGGCTCCCATATAGCTGGTCGCAGCAGCACCGCTTTGCCTATGTGCATGTGCGGCGATGGGACGGCGACACCCAGCCACCTCATGCCACACACTGGCCTCTATTGGACCATGGCACACGGCCTGAAGTGTGAGCTGCCTGAAGTGAGACGATTTTCGAGTCGACTCAAAAATCGTCACACTCGGCCTGAAGTGTACGCTGCTTGTGACAACTTTCTGAAGTGACAGCCCGCCCTGCCCGTGCCATCCCTCTCACCCCAGTCTCCTGCAGAAGCTCCCATCGCTTGTCCCGCCAAACACCACTCTCTACATCGCAACCAACGAGCCACACCCCCACTTCTTTGACCCTCTTAAGGCTGCATACAGCGTGTACATTCAAGAGGATTTTGAATCTCTCTGGGCCAAAGGGTCGGCGTGGGAAGCCGAGATGAGGGAGGTTGCGGCTTCGGTGGGTGTGGCGGTGGGGGAGAGGGTGGAGTTTGGCAGTGAGATGCAGGTGCTGGTGGACTATGCGCTCAAGAAGCTTGCGAGGCGGACGGTGGAGACGTTTAACGACCTGACTGATGATCCCAAGGACGGTGAGATGCGGTGGAGAGTGGTGACATGCGGTGGAGAGGGGTTGTTGGGGGAGTTTGGCAGTGAGATGCAGGTGCTGGCGGATTATGCGATCCAGAAGGTTGCGAGGAGGGTGGTGGAGATGTTTAACGACCTGACTGATGATCCCAAGGACGGTGAGATGCGGTGGAGAGCGGCGGGAAGGAGGAGGGGAGGTGGTGGGAAGGTGGAGCGGAAGTGGTGGGGAAGTGTTGGGGAGTGCTGGGGAGGTGGTGGGAAGGTGGTGTGTGTGTGAGTAGCATGTCATGTCATCAAGCCTTATTACCATGCTCCCCCATGCTCTGCCATGCATTATCTTGCTCTACCTTGCTCTGCCTTGTCCTTCCTTGCCCAATGTACTTCCTTCCTCCCTCTTTTTAAATTCCTCTTGCTCCACATCAGTGCCTTCCCCACGCTTCCATCCCTCCCCCCAAACCCCCATTGCGTTATCTCCACTCCAATTTTTTTTCCCCGTCATGTTGACTCTCTTGTGGTCTCATCTTTCCCCACTGCATTCCCCCCACTCCATGGCCTTCCCTGGCAGGCGTTGTAGGGCCTTAGCACACATGGTGACGGGTGCGTGGGGCATGGGGTGACGGAGCAACATAGTTTATCAAACAGAAGTAGTGTACGGTCAAGATGCATGTATTATGTACAGAGAACAACACATATTGTAGAAAATCGCAAGATAAATCAGGGTGCTCTTCAAGAACCCTGACAAGCAGAGAAAACACAGACGACATGGTTGATTTAGAGACAGAGGGATACACTACAGATAAATCTATCCCTATATTTCTATATTGCAGCACCGTGATTTTGAGCTGAAATGGGCATCCACCTTGGCTGGGTCTCCAAAGGTCAAACGCGGTTTCTGTGAGTCCGAGTGGCCCCCCGTGCCAAGCAAGGGTCATTCTGTATCTCCCTACCATAATTGCCTTCGCTTCGCGAATTTTACATCCGTGACTGATCGTTCGTTATACAGTACGAGGGGGTTGGAAAAATTGCCTTGGGAGACGACCGCAACATGTGATTTTGACGAGAATTGCCACAGGTAGATGGGGTTGCGACGGCATGGCTAACGATTGAGTTACCAGCTTTGGCTTTCAAAAACGGAAGTTCTGTTCCACTCCACACCCTTCCTGGCAGCAATTATTTGTTCTTAGGGGGTGGAACATCCTGGGAACAGGCCTGTGGTTTCATTTTGGGCCCCCTTGACAAATCAAGGGGCCCGGCATGTATGACCCTGTATTTAGCAGGGTTGGGGCGAATCTAGGCCCTTTAGGTTTCAGGGCTGGAAAATTTTCCTCCCTTGAATCAGGTTTGGCGCGAAAAAATCGGGAGCCTCATTTCAACTACCAAGCTTACAACTACGTTTGAGATCAACAAGAAGCAAGCAAACACGACAAGAAGAGAAATAATTAGCGTCATATCACTAAGCACGCTTTGCAGGCTTCCTAGCCTTTGCAGAACCGATGATCGTCTGCACTTTACTACCCAACCTTCAGGGTAGTTCTTGTGCACTTCTACCCAACCTTAACCGTCACCCACTCCACAGAGAGCGAGTTGTGATTGGTTTAAGCACAAGTTCTAGGCTGAGTTGAATTTGTGGCCCAACCAAGCAACTCGAAATTGCCTTGTTGGATACAATTAGGTTAGAAACGAAGGGGAAAGGAGAGGAGGAGTGTTGGGGGGGGAAGGGGAGTGGAAGGGGGGTCTCGAGAGATTTTGTTCCAGGGCTAGCCTAAAATCTGCCCTTAACACACCAAGCCTGAGCCTGGAATCAGCCCTGTTAAAAATCAGGGCCAGAATATTTCCAACCCATCAATTTCAGTTTTCAAGGGCAACCCAGCCGTGGAATTCAAGGTCCAGCAGGGCAAACGCCCTGCAAGCGACAGCCTTGCCTGGGAACCTCGAAAAAGTCCGGACCTTACCGCTGTGAAACGAATTTTAACGATACAGAATCGTAGCAGCACAGCATGGACCGATTTAAACCGCAATTGAAATTCGGACTTGTCTGAAAATCTGCAGGATGCGCCTAGTGACGCTACATCCTTTATTGCTACAATTATGGTCATTCTCAGCCAGCATAACAGCTACTTTATGCACCGTGAAACGCGATTCTCAGGATATCACAATTTCGAGTCCCCGTGTCTTCTGCATTGTGACAATACCATCCGATTCCATACCTTAGCTAGCTTCCATGGCTCCACGGTACCTTCGGAGCGAGCGTCTCACCTCCGCCATCTCACTCTCCATCGCCATCGCATTGATTCTGGTACCGTTAGCGCGCGCTCAGCAGTGCTCGAGCTCCGTGGCGTGTAACCTGACGAGCCTGTGCTGCAGGTTAGTCTAAAGACGTCTCACATATCGAGCCTGTTGCTGGTCAGCTCAATGGCGCTCCTCCCCAAGTTCATGTCCGACTTGGAGTCGATTTTCATGCTTCACAACCTTAAAGTCCTTCGGTGCTTCCGGAACACATTCATTTTCATATATTACCACTATTTCAGACAAGTCTGAAAGTCGAGTTCAGAACACAAATTCAAATTCTAAAAATGAGGCCTCCGACACCTACCTTTCAAGCTGATGTTTGCTTTCACGGCGGAAAAGTTCCCCTCACCCTCAAAACACCTCGACCGCGGCCTCGTATATTCGGCATCTCATACATTCGCCTTCTTCTCTTTCCCCTCTCTTTCTCCCGCTCTGTCCGTAACCCTCTTTCCCCTGCAGTGACGCCTACTGCGGTGCGGACTGTCAGAACGGGCCGTGCATTTCTGGTGAGGACGATTCTGTTGATTTGGATGCCTCGGATAAACTGGAAAGATACATGATACAGATTTTAGATGAATACTGATGATTTAAACAATTCCGACAATCAGACTAGATGACTCAGGTAAATATTTCAATCCAGTTAATTCGGATAATCGGCGCGGGTAATGCCATTCCATAGCATGTGTATCCCTCTCTACCGTAGAGAGAAAGAAGAAAGGGAGAGCACGCGTACCTAACATGTGCTAGAGCACGTGTATCTCTCTCACCTAACATGCTCTTTCATATCCATTCTCTCATGTTTCCATGCATACACACCTAGCACACATCGCCAAAATGTTTCTGTCCTCAAAGTTTGTTTTGGGACTAACACTATCCAACAATCCCAGAGGTGTCTTCTGGGATAAGACTGGGTCACGTTTGGGTCACATTTCTGTTCCAAAAGACTCTTCTAGGACAATTTTGGGATAGTGAGAAAGTGTCAATCCCAAAAGTATCTTCTAGGACAGATTCAGGAAAGAACATTTTGGCGATACATCCATGCATGCACACATAGTATCCATGCATTCATGATGCATGTACACACTATGCATACGTGCATGCATATAGTATCCATGCATCCCTGCATGCTCTCATTACAATGCCACCTTACTGTCCCTTCCCATCCTATTTTTCTTAGTGACAACAACGACCACTCAACAGCAGTGCTCCAGCTCCTCGCCATGTAACCCGCCGAGTCTATGCTGCAGGTCAGTTTGAGAGGACTCACAACCCGAACCTAGGCTTCAGGTTTGTTTGAGGCATCTCACAGCCCGAGCCTATCATGCTGCTCATCATGTCAATGCCACCCCCCCCCCCCCCCCCCCCCCCCCTTCTCCTTCCATTTTGAGTCGTTTTCATGCTTTCAGAACACGACATTTTATTTTGTTAGTGCGTTCAGAACACGCCCTTTTTGTCCTTTGTTGCTTTCGGAACACGCCTTTTTGGTACTTAGGTGCTTTCATTCCTCCACCTGGTGCGGAAGAACGCCTCCTACTGCGACACAGGTGCTCTAACGTGAGGGCGATTCCAGACGCTTCTGGCTGCTCTCCCCTCCCTGCCTCTCCCCTCACCCTCTTTTGCGCGCAGCCAGTACGGCTATTGTGGAAGCAACGAGAATTACTGCGGTGGGGGGTGTCAGAAGGGGCCGTGCTCTGGTGAGAACGATTTTGATACTGAGTTTTGTGACGTCACAAAACTATGGGCCGTGCTGTGGTGAGAGCAATCCCGATGACGGAAACGTGTCATGTGCCATTAAAAGGAGGTGGCTCGAGTCGACTCAAAAGTCATCAGGTGTCAGAACTGGCTGTGCTCTGGTGAGAGCAATTCTGATGACTGAGACGCTTCAGATATACCAGAGATTTTAGATTATTCAGTTCCAATGACTTGGATGGTTCGCGTAACTTTGAATATTTGGTGATTTGGATTATTCTGCTTCCCCCACACCCTCCTCCTTGCTCCCTCTCCGCCTTACCCCCACCCCCAACTTCTTCCCCACCTCCGCCTTCCTCCCACCTCTGACCTCCCCCACCTCCCCTTTCCCCCACCTCTGCCTTCCCCCCATCTTCGCTTCCCTTCACCTCCGCTTCCCCCACCTCCGACTTCCTCCCACCTCCGCCTTCCCCTCACCTCCGCCCCCACCTCCGACTTCCACCTCCGCCTTCCCCTCACCTCCGCCCCCACCTCCGACTTCCACCTCCGCCTTCCCCTCACCTCCGCCTTCCCCTCACCTCCGCCTTCCCCTCACCTCCGCCTTCCCCTCACCTCCGCCTTCCCCTCACCTCCGCCTTCCCCTCACCTCCGCCTTCCCCCACCTCCGCCTTTTCCCCACCTCCCACCGCTTCCCCACTGGAACAGGAAGGGGTTCCTCTTCCTCCCTCTCCACGGGGGTGGTGGTGGGGGTGGTGGTGGGAGCGGTGGTGCTGCTGCTGGGATTGGTCCTTCTAACGGTGTTCTTGTGTCAGAAAAGGCGCAGGGCCAAGGCGGCATGTAATCAAGCAGCCAAAGATGAAGGTAAGTCTGCTATATCGAAATCACTTTTGAGAATTCTCAAAAGTGATTTCGCCAAAGATGAAGGTAAGTGAAGGCGTGTGAGGGGGTTTCCAGGTTTGTAGGGCCTTATGGATAAATAAAAGGCCTATGGAATCATAAGCGGGTTCACTGATCCATAAGGGGCCACGGAGGAAGAGTTATTATATGTTAAATCAGGGGACCACGGCTTTATAAGCAAAAAAAAAAAAAGGCTGGGCCTGCTTTCGATTAAGGATTAACAGAAATTCCAGAGGCTCGCGTCATTGTCATGCTGTGGTGACAACCCGAACCTCATCTCGGAAAGATGATGAGTTTTGAGATGCCTCAAATCTGATGGCACGACCTGCCTCTAAACTGATGGCAGCTCGTGCCATTATCATCTTGCTTTGATAATAGCCTGAACCTCATTGCAGCATGACGCACTTGCTCATGCCAGTTTGCCTCGGCAGCTTGCCACCTCGGCTTTGCCACCCCTTCTCATCTGTTGCAACCCCTTTGCACCCGCGTTCCTACACCTGCCCCTTTCACTTATGTACCATGCCCCCAGAATCAGCAAAAGAAGCAGTGGCACCAGCAGCAGCAGAAGCAGCACCAGCACCAGCAGCAGCTGTATCACCAGCAACATTAGCAGGAGCAGCAGCAACAGCGCCAGGAGAAGCAGCAGCAGTAGCAGGAGCAGCGGAAGCGGGGATACGTGGGCCTGCGCAGTGCCAAAGCTACCCCTTATCTGACGTCCTGTGGGCGACTAACAACTGGGCTGAGGCAAACAAGATTGGCAGCAGCGGGTACGGGGTGGTGTACAAGGGTGTGTCTCCCCACGACCAGTCTCTGCTGTGGGCTGTGAAGCGCGCCACTGTCTTAACAACTGAAGACTTTCGTAGAGAGGTGAGTAGGGGGATATTTAGGTGACTTTTGAGTCGACTGGAAAGCCGAGTGGGCGTTGAAGTGTGCCTCTGTCTTAACGACTGAAGACTTCTGCCGAGAGGTGCGTAAGGAGAGATTGGGGTATCGCAGTGGTGCAGTGCGGTGCAGTGCAGTGTGGTACAACCGTGTCTGCTGCCTCACCACCTATCGTTGTGTGGGCTGTGGGAAGTTGTGAAAAATGTTTGAATGAGAGGGTGACTGTACCAACGAAAAGGAGGGTTCCCCCTCTCTCTCCCCCTCCCTTCCCCATCGGCCCTCCATATCTCCCCGTCAGATCAATGAGATGGCGTGCAAGAACCACGGCGACCTCGTGCGGCTCCTGTGGTACTGCGTCCCCTCCCTTCCCCCTTTTCCACACTTCCCCCTTCCTCCCCCCTCTTCCCTCCTTCCGCCCTCCCAATTATCGCCCTATCAGATCAATGAGATGGCGTGCAAGAACCACGGCAACCTCGTGCGCCTGCTGGGGTACTGCCTGGACATGGACGCGGCAAATGAGAAGATAGAGCAGGTTCTCATCTATGAGTTCATGCACAACGGCGACCTCGAGAGGTGGAGTGGCTCAGGTGGGTGCTGGATGGAGTGCGTTGATACCCTGAATCGCTGATGATCCCTATGAGAGAACCACATCAACCTCGAGGGATTCTGCCGGCACATACATGTGGCAAATGAGCAAATAGAGCAGGTTCTCATCTAAGAGTTCATGCAAAATGGGGACCTAGAGAGGTGGATCGGACCAGGTGGGTGCCTGGATGGGCTTGGTCAGATACAGCCTCATGGACGCTGCGAGCGAGAACATAGAGCAAATCTCATCTATGAGTTCATGCACAACGGTGACCTCGAGAAGTGGATCGGACCAGGTGGGTTTGAGTAGACTTTCAAATCAACTCGTGGCGGCTGGGGGAATGACTGGGGGCATAGAGCAGGTTCTCATTTATGAGTTCATGCAAAATGGTGACCTCGAGAGGTGGATTGGACCAGGTGGGTACTGAGTTGACCTGAAAGTCACCTCATGGCGGCAACTGGAACCAGGTGGGTACTGAGCATCTTCCCTTCTATGTGTTGATGGAGAATGGTGACCTCGAGAGGTGGATTGGACCAAGTGGGTTTTGAGTCGACTCAGAAGTCACAAGTCACCTCGTGGCAAATGGGGCAAGAGAGTATTCTCTCTCCTCTTCGAGTACATGGGCTGCCATGACCCCAAGAGATGCATCGGGACCAGGTGGGTGCTGGAAGGATTTCGTTGGCACGTGTGTGCCGCTGGTCATTCCTGAAGTAGTGCAAGTACCAACGTCTACGTGCTCAAGGCCTTTGAGGCACCTGTGTGGGGGTAGAGAGACGAATCATGAGGCGCCTGTGTGGGGGTAGAGAGACGATTCATAAGGCGCATGTGTGTGGTTAAAGAGATGGGTTTTGAGGCGCCTGTGTGTGGTTAAAAAGACGGGTTTGAGGCGCCTCACCTGCTGCATTCCTTGCTTCGTCCTTCGCCGTCGTGGCATTCTTCTGAATCTCTCTGGGCCTTGCTTGATTCCTTATCCTTCGTACAACACCCGTTTTCCGACTCCCCCCCACAACAACCACCAGGTGTGGCTGTGCCCCTGAACCTGCGGAGCGCTTTGACGTGCTCATAGGGGTTGCTCAGGGCTTGCATCGCACTTGTCAAGCCGTTTGAAGCGCTTTATTAGTAATGCACCCTTTTTCCACCTCCTCTCCACAACCACCACCAGGTGCGGCATACCCTCTGAACCTGCGGCAGCGCTTTGACGTGCTCATAGGGGTGGCATGAGGCCTGGAGTACCTCCACAGCTTCAACATCGTGCATCGTGACATCAAGCCCGCCAGCATCCTTCTCGACAAGCATATGCAGGTGAGGTTGTTTGGAGTGTGCCTTTCTCTGTAAGCACCTACCTTCCCCACGAGGCCTGGAGTACCTCCACAGCTTCAACATCGTGCATCGTGACATCAAACCTGCCAACATCCTGCTTGACAGGAACATGCAGGTGAAAAAGAGTGTCACGCATACATTTCCCCTCTCTCTACTCTCCCCAGGCCAAGGTGGCTGACTTTGGGCAGGTGCGGATAAACATGGACGCCACTGGAGATGCAACTCGGAGGGTGGGAACAATAGGCTATATGGACCCTGCATACGTGTGGACAGAGCGGGCCACTCCAGCATTGGACGTGTACAGGTGAGACAAGGCCCAAGAGTGATTGAAATGCTGATAGGATGGCACAGTTGAGTGCTACAGGTAAGTGCAGGGTAGATGGGAACTCCAGGCTATACGGAGCCTGCATACATGCATGTGGACACAGAGGGCCACTCTTGCAGTAGACGTGTACGGGTGAGAGGAGGCACGGGTGTGTGAAACGCTGATAGCACATGAGAGAGAAGGCACGAGTAAGTGCAGAGGTGGGTGGAGAAGCAGGGGGTGGGTGAAGGCTATGCGGACCCTGCGTACTCGTGGACACAGAGGGCCACTGCAGACGTGTACAGGTGAGAGGAGGAGCGGGTGAGAGTGTACTGGCTATTTGAGAACTAAGGGTGAGTGCAGATGATGGGAACCGAAGGCTATGAGGACCCTGCGTACTCGTGGACACAGAGGGCCATTCCTGCAGCATACGTGCACAAGTGAGAGAAGGCACGAGTGCGTGTAATGTTAATATCGGCATGTTCAATCTGGTACAAACCGGTATGAATTTGTATTCGTTTGTGAATGTAATATCGGCTTGATTTGGACCCAGCAAACTTTCCCCCTTATTCCAGCCTACTTTCTCCATTTCCCCAGCCAACTTTCTCCAACCTACTTTTCCCAGCCTAATTTCCTAAGCCAGCTTTCCCCAGCCTACTTTCCCCATTTCCCCAGCCAAATTTCCCAGCCTACTTTTCCCAGCCTAATTTCCCGAGCCAGCTTTTCCCAGCCTACTTTCTCCATTTCCCCAGCCAACTTTCCCCATTTCCCCAGCCAACTTTCTCCAGCCTAATTTCCCGAGCCAGCTTTCCCCAGCCAACTTTCCCCATTTCCCAAGCCAACTTTCTCCAGCCTACTTTTCCCAGCCTAATTTCCCGAGCCAGCTTTCCCCAGCCTACTTTCCCCATTTCCCCAGCCAGCTTTCCCAGCCTTATTTCCCGAGCCAGCTTTTCCCAGCCTACTTTCCCCAACCCACTCTCCCCAGCCTACTTTCCCCAGCCGACATCAAACCACAGAAGCTCAGTTCAGTAGCAGACGTGCACACAGGGAAGCGAAGTCACAGATGTGTGCACAATAGGTTCAAGCCGGAACAGAGCAGTTTAAGAGAGGTGTGAGCTATACCACGACAGGTTCAGGCCAATTCAGAGCGGTCCAAGCCGAGATAACGAGGGTATGAGCTGTACCACGGCAGGTTCATGCCTTTACAGGGCAGTGTTTTAGCTCGTAATATTTCTGTTATCTACAGAATTGTTCTGTTCGGTGAATATCCTACTTAATCCAAGCCACAGAAGGCCATTTCATGGTGGCTATGCACAGGTGGGGAGGACCAGTACAGGTACAGAGCGGTACTTGCCTGTAGTATAGTTGCAGAGGTGGAGGTCATGAGCATAGGTGCATGTGTGACACCATTCCCACCATTTTTATGCGTGCAACCATGCTACTCACCATCATTGCACACCATCATTGCATACCATCATTGCACCCCATCATTGCACACCACCATTGCACACCATCATTGCACACCATCATTGCACACATGCCTGCTCCCGTCTCCCCCCACAGCGTTCGAGTAGTCATGCCTATACTGACTTCTGAGTCGACTCAAAAGACACCATTCCCACCATGTTGCTACATGCAATCATGCTAATCACCATCATTGCACACCGTCCTACGCCCATCTCCTCCCACAGCGTTTGAATAGTCATGCCTATGCCCAATCACAATCCTCGCTGCCGGAAGTCTTGCAAAGAGCTACAAGAGCTGCATTTCCGTGTTTGTGCCCATGTTTGCATGTTATCCGCTGCAGCTTTGGAGTGGTGGTGCTGTCGGTCATAACTGCACGCAAGGCTGTGTTCCCAATGGAGGGCAACACGCCCTCAGGCAAGGGTTTATCAGAGAACAACCTGATAAATATCAAGACTTGGGTGAGCCCACTGTTGGGAAAGGGTGACTGAGAAAGAACGATGAGTGATGTAAGTGAGATCATTACAGTTGATCAAAGGGTGATAAAAGAGCGATAATTCATCACAATGTTCTTCGCAACCTCTTTGCTTTCTTGAGAATTGGTTTCTCTCTCTCTCTCTCTCTCTCTCTCTCTCTCTCTCTCTCTCTCTCTCTCTCTCTCTCTCTCTCCTTCTCTCTCTCTCTCTCTCTCTCTCTCTCTCTCTCTCTCTCTCTCTCTCTCTCTCTCTCTCTCTCTCTCTCTCTCTCAAACGGTCCTTCGTATTAGTATCATCAAGGTATAGACCTGGGTACTAAGCTAGTCTAAGCAATCAAATGACAAACAGGCACAACCAAGAAAACACACAAAGGTACCACAAACACATAAAATCCCCCCTCTAGCGGCAAACCCGGGTACCCCTTGTGCCACTTGCTTGTGACCCTCCTCCCCTCGCTGCATTCTCCCCTTCTAGGTACAACCTGTAGTGGACGCAGGAAATGCAGACTCCATCAAGGTCTCATGTTTTCAGGCCCCCTGCGACATCATCCTCCCATGCCTCTCATGCCACTTGTATCAATTTTCTCTCTCCACCTGCTCCTCTTCCACCAACCTGCTCCTCTTCCACCAACCTGCTCCTCCCTCACCAACCTGCTCCTCCCTCACCAACCTGCTCCTCCCTCACCTCACGTTTCCAGGTGCAATCCCTGGTAACAGTAAAGGATGCAGACACCATCAAAGACCCGTGTCTAGATGCCCCAAGCCACATCGTCCTCTCATGCCTCTTGTGTCTCTTATGCCCCTTGTATCACTTGTGTCTCTCCCACTTGTTCCTCCCACACCTTGCCCCTGTTCCTGTTCATGCCTCTCATGCCTCTCATGCATCTCATGCCCCTTGTATCATTTCTATTTCTACCACCTGTTCCTCCCACACCCCACCGTTTCAGGTGCAACCCCTACTGGACGCTGGGAATGTAGACACCGTCAAAGATCCATGACTAGACGCCCCTACCACATCATCTTCACATGCCTCTTATGCCCCTTGTATCACTTCTGTCTCTCCCACCTGCTCCTCCCTCACCCCACCCTTCCAGGTGACACCCCTAGTGGATGCGGGGGACGCAGATACCATCAAGGACCCGCGACTAGATGCCCCAAGCGACAGCATCCTCCGCCTGGCCCGCCTCGCCCTCTCCTGCACTGCCGAGCAAGTGACTGCTCGCCCCACCATGGCCCGCGTTCTCTCCGATCTCATGGTTATGAAAGAGGAGTGCTTTGGAAATGAAGTGAATCCTGCGCTCGCAAAAATCGACAGGGACATGGCGAACATGAGGGGCTCGAGCCTCTCTTGGGAGTCCGAAGAGGTTTGAACGGAGAAGCTTGTAACGGGGCGGGAAGGAACGTCAGGTTTGAACTGAATAAAGGAAGAGAATCCTGCGCTGGCCAATATCGACCGCGACATGGCGAACCTGAGGGGTCCGAGCCTCTCTTGGGAGACCTAAGAGGTTCGAACGGAGGAGCTTGTAACGGGGCGGGGGGGGATGTTGGGTTCAAACAGCGCAATTGGGGCGATTGAAGAAAATGGAGGCTTGAGGTAGCATTGATAGATTATTGCTCTGTTCGGTGGAGTAAAGCTTGATTAGTGTTTTTTTGCTGATAATGGGCAAGAGGTGTTGAGGAAAAAAATCGTGGTTCCAACAGCCCATAGGCTTGATTCCAATAATCATATGTCATATGCTTTCAATATGAGGCTCAAGAAACCTTTTTTTTGTAAGGTCAACTGTAAGGAATTTTCCCTAATTCCTTACTGAGGCACTCCATGCGCCTACAACTCCAACTTTCGGAGTTCCAGGCTCGGTTCGACGACCTTGCCCTCCGAACCAAACGTCCCTCACGTCGCCTTCGAGTTTCCCAACCCCGAACATGCACCTAACCATACGCGGTCCCGCGACCTCGGCCTAGCTAGCCTTCACTAAATGAGTGCTAGGTCTCATTATTTGTTCAGTTGTATTCACTTCCGCGTTATTGGATCCTGCACACTCTCTTCATTACAACACATAAGAGCGTGTCAAATGTTGTAGCCTATAGTGAGGCATGTCATGTGGGGTACAGTTGTTAGGGTTAGGTTTATGTACCCCAAGTCACAGTAATACAGACATCATTCCGTTCCTGGCAAGGTGTGTTCTTACGGCCTCTAATCAGACTGACCTCTTGTCAGAATTGTGTCAAAATGTTGTGATGCTTATATTGTGTAGGTTGTAGTAGGGTAGCCCATAAGGGGTACAACCAAATTAGGGTTAGTACTTGTCAACGGGAGTTGTTTGTGCGGAGATAACTACTACAACGGGAGCTAGACTACTGGCTAGGCACGTGTGCTCGTGTGATCTCTGCGTTCGTTGGTCCTTAGGCGTTTTCCTAGTGCTCACACTGCTTGCTAGTTCACGGGGCAATTTGGCAAGAGTTTCACTAAGAAAAGATGACAACAATGGTAAAATGAAGTTTGGCAATGCAAGACTATATCAGAGCTAGCATTCAGGTCGGTAGACTGCCAGCACAGCATGGTCGACCGCGTTCCAGCAGACTTGGTCGACCACGCTCCAGTAGTGCAAAGTCGACAGCGCTTTGCAGGTGCGTGCAGATGATTGGTGTGCAGAGTCTTGTCACCTGCCAGCACACACACCACGTCAGCCTCGGGCTGACAACTGCCTATGATCAGCCACGACGACCTCGGGATACCACCACTGAGATTGGTCTCGCCAACTTCGCCTGGGCGACTGTCGCATTCCTCCGCAGCACTTCGTTACCCAGGTAACCTGGTCGACCAGGCAACCTCATCGACCAGTAACTCCTGTACGTGCCCGTCGACCTCCCAAGTCGACGACCACCTCCATGTCAACCTCACCAGGATGACCACGCCCCTCGGTCGAAGACCACGCTACTCGACGCCCTGAGTCGAGGTCGACGTCGGCCCCTCCTTCGTCGACCACCGGGTCCAGTCGACCACCGGGTCCAGTCGACCACCCGCAGGTCGACCAGCACATCAGCCGATCACCGAAGTCGGATTCCCCGGGTTGACATCACCAAGTTGACGTCCTCCGCAGGTCGACGCCTACGTCGACCTCCCCGAAGTTGGCGCCACCCTGAAGTCGGCGCCCGTGCAGTGGTCCCCGTGCAGGTCGACCTCCTCGTCGACCAGCTCGCCCACTGCTGCAGGTCGGCTGCTCCCCTAACACCGGACCACGATGTCGGCTCCGCCCAAGCATGGACGGGGCCAACATACAACTCCTGTTGACAGTTTGTTGGCCCCGTCCAAGCTTGGGCGGAGCCGACTTCGTGGTGGGGTGTACGGAAGGTACCGCCAACTTGCAGCAGTGGGCGACGCCGACTTGGGCGAGCTGGTCGACGGGGCTGGTCGACTTGCACGGGGCCACTGCAATGCCGCCGACATGGGAAGCCGGCGGCCGACTTCAACTGGTGGTCGGCGATGTGGCACGTCGACCTAGAAGTCGGCGCCGACTTGCAAGGTCACCGACTTGCAAGGTCACCGACTTGCAAGGTCACCGACTTGCAAGGTCACCGACTTGCAAGGTCACCGACTTGCAAGGTCACCGACTTGCCAGGTCACCGACTTGCCAGATCACCGACTTGCAAGGTCATGGACTTGCAAGGTCACCGACTTGCTAGGTCACCGACTTGCCAGGTCACCGACTTGCCAGGTCACCGACTTGCTAGGTCACCGACTTGCCAGATCACCGACTTGCAAGGTCACCGACTTGCAAGGTCACCGACTTGCCAGGTCACCGACTTGCCACGTCACCGACTTGCAAGGTCACCGACTTGCCAGGTCACCGACTTGCAAGGTCACCGACTTGCAAGGTCATCGACTTGCAAGGTCACCGACCTGCAAGGTCACCGACTTGGGAGGTCGCCGACCTCAAGAGATTAGTCTGGAAGGGGCGTCGACTTGGTGACGCCGACTTTGGGTAGCCGACTTGGGTGGTCGGTTGACAACTGCACTGGTCGACGTGGAGCTGGTCGACCAGGAGTGACGTCGACCTGGAGCTGGTCGACCAGAAGAGTGGTCGACCTGGTGAGGTCGTCTTGGTGTGGTCGTCGACTTGGGAGGTCGACGAGCACATACAGGAGCAGCTGGTTGACATGGTTGCCCGGTCGACCAGGATACCTGGGTGACAAGGTTCTGCGAAGGAGTGCGACGGTCGCCCAGGCGAAGTTGGCGAGTCAGACCTCGGTGGTAGTATCCCGATGTCGACGTGTCGGATCAGGTGGAGCCGTCAGCACGAAGATGACTTGGTGCGTGCACTGTTCAGGTGACGAGGCTTAGCCCTCCAATCATCAATGAGCACCTGCGAAGTAGGTGCGCTGCTGTTCTACGGGAGCAACGCTGGCACGCCGTCAACCTGCAGCGTTGGCACGCTGTCGATTTTGCACTGCTGGAGCGTGGTCGACCAAGTCGTGCTGGAACGCGGTCGACCATGCTGTGCAGATGACGAGGCTCCGCACGCCAATCATCTGCTAGCACCTATGAAGTTGGTGCGATGCTGTTCTGTGGGAGCAACGCTGGCACGCCGTCAACCTGCGAAGTTGGCACGCCGTCGACCTTGCGCTGCAGGAGCGCGATCGACCAAGTCGTGCTGGAACGCGGTCGACTGTGCTGCGTTGGCGGTCGACCGACCTGAATGCTAGCTCTGATGTAGTCTTGCCATGCCAACTTGATTGTACCATTGTTGTCAACTTTCTCTAGTGAAACTCTTGCCAAGTTGCTCCGTGAACTAGCAAGCAGTTTGAGCACTAGGAAAACAACTAAGAACCAACGAACGCAGAGATCACATGATCACCCGTGCCTAGCCCGTAGTCTAGCTCCCATTGTAGTAGTTATCTCCGCAGTACTTGTACCAACTTCGATCTTAGTTCATCCATTCCGGTTCAGTATTATGATATGGTTACAGAGCACGTCCTGTTCCAAGACTGTTTTTTTTAGGGCCCACCATATATTTCGCTGCCCATAGCACGTTACCCTGCCCGTAGCGCCCTACCCTGCCCGTCGCACTGCCCCACCAATCGTGTTGCCCTACCCTGCCCGTCACGCCGCCGTGCTAACCGCGCGTTGCCTTGCCCTGCCAGTCGCGCCGCCCTGCTGGCCGCGCGCTGCCCTGCCCTGCCCGTCGCGCTGCCCTGCCCTGCCCGTCGCGCCGCCCTGCTGGTCGCGCACCGCCCTCCCCTGCCCATCGCGCTGCCCTGCTAGCTGCGTGCCGCCCTGCCCTGCCCATCGCGCTGCCCTGCTAGCCGCGCACCGCCCTGCCCTGCCCGTCGCACCGCCCTGCAGGTCGCACGCTGCCCTGCACTGCCCGTCGCGCCGCCCTGCGAGTCGCGCGCCGCCCTGCCCTGCCCGTCGCGCCGCCCTGCTGGCCGCGCGCTGCCCTGCCCTGCCCGTCGCACCTCCCTGCTGGCCGCGCGCTGCCCTGCTCTGCACGTCGCGCCGCCATGCTAGCCGCGCGCTGCCCTGCCCTGCCAAATGCAGCGCCCTGCCCTGGCCGTGCGCCGCTCTTCCTTAGCCGTGCGTCGCCCCGCCCCGCCCTGCGTGCTTCCCTAGTGCTCGCGCGCCGCCCTGCCCGTCGCACCGTCCTTGCTTGCGTGCTACCCTGCTGGTCGCGCGCCACCCTACTCTGCCCGCTATGGCTTCTCTCAGTGTTCTCACCTTTGATCCTGAGGGCCGTCCGATCTACTTTGAGACCTGGCTAGACGACCTACAGCTGTACCTATAGAGCAGGTCTAGAGACGGCGTCTCCCTGTTTGACCACACGTCTGGAACCTCTCTCGGTCCTCTCAGACAGCTGACAGTGTGACTCGCTCACAGTGGCTTACCTGTGACGCTACTGCTCGCCTAGCCGTTTGCAACCAAGTGCCGTTAGCCGAACGCACGCATTTTGGCCAGCAGAAGACTGCCAAAGCACTGTTCGACGTTGTAGTCACTCGTTACTCCTCCCCTGCCACTGCTTCTCTCGACCAACTTATACTGCCCTACCTTTTTCCCGAGCTGTCAGCCTTTGCCACAGTCGACGACCTCATCACCCACCTTCGCACCAGCCACACTCGCTACCGCGCCGCACTTAAAACCGAGTTTCCAGACAAGACCCCCCCCCCCCTTCCCATATACATCACTCTCTACTTCATCGTCACCCGCCTCCCTGACTCTCTTTGTGCAGTCAGGGACCTCCTTCTTGGCCTTGACCCCACAGACCTCACTGTCGACCTGCTCGAGAAGAACCTCCTTGCAGCTGGGACTAGCATAGTCGTAGGCGCTTCTCGAGGCACTCCTCGCACTCCCTTCTTTGAGGGGTATCCCCCCTCC